TCCTTTTATTACCATCATATTTGTGAATGATCGCTAACCAAGGTAGTCGCTAAACAAAGAGTGGATGTAATTATCGAACTCAAGTTAGAAAGTGCAAAATCAACAGTAACTGAATGTAGAACTATCGTAAGGGTGATAATTAATATAACAAATATGGTAAATCATATCAAATTAGAAACTTTACTAAAGCTAGCAACAAATATGGTATCCAATGTACTCCCTAAAATTAATAATAATCTTGAAATTCTAGTATTACTATATCTATTCTGTGGATAATAATAATGCTATGTTGCTTATTTATTTATTTGAAAATGTTATATGGCTGCCTATATTATATTACATTACATTATATATTATACAACTTAAGCTGCTAACAAACATATAAATAATAAAAACACAAGATTAAAACTCTAGTTTAATTACTACAGAAGAGAGTGGAGCAACCTATGCAGAGGGAGACGATTTAGCTCATTCCCATAACTGTTATGTTCCACTAGCTTATGAAAACCTCTTCCAATAAAGAAAGCTCAAAGGCATTTTTAGTATTTGGGGTCAAAACAACCATCCTTTGCAAACGAAATGCTTTTAAACTAATTGGATTCTTAATGGCTTCCCATGGCAGCTTCCTGACAGTTCTGATTTTATGAGCAGAATTTCCTGAATTCTTCACCTGCCCTAATGAATTACTTCAGTCTTTTGGAAGGGAGCCTTGACGTGTCTGCTTCATCTGAAGGCATTTTGATATACAGTACAGCCATTACGTCAGATAGGCTGACCTAGTGAATTTTTAGCTGGATTTTGGTGGGGGGCTTTCTTTAATAAAGTAGTCAAAGGTATTTTGCTGCCTGAGACAAAGGACTAAGCAGGGAGCTAATATGTCTCTTAGTTACAAGTTACATCTAAGAGCCTTAGGACGGGCAACCGAGTACAGTAATGCAGCATCCTCTTACTGCATTCTGGGCATTGCTCATTTACCACTCTGTGTATCACCTCTGGCTTAGCAAATGCTAGAACACCGCAGAAGCAGAGCGAGGCATATCGTGAGCATCCTGCCAATGACGTGTGTGGCTTGAAGTACTTTCCTCCCTAACCTCTGACACACCAAGAGAAGGAAATGAAGCCAGACTGCAATATGGTCACCATCACTAAGGCTCAGGAGGAGCAGTTCTGGATGAAGGCTGACAGCATCACTCCCAGCAATGGTTCCTCTGAGGCTGCTACTCCACCTGCCTAAAGAATAGTTTACCTGAGAAGTGAATGCATGTATCTTAAGGTGTTGACCAGATCCTCTTGTCCTGGAGGCAACTCATCTTGAAGAGGCTGGGGCGCTATGGTCAGCAAGGAATGGCCTGTCTTGTCTGTTCCTCCTGGTGTGGAGAGAAACAAGGAAAATATGAGGCATAACTATATGCCACTTTGCCCTGGCATCAAGTCCAATAAATACAAACTGTGAGTTGGCTGCTCAACTACCAAATCTCATAGTTAGGGCCTCTACAGCCTGAGTTCAGCAGCCATTTAAATGACCAGTATCAGACATTCAGAATTTGGGTCAAAAGGATGCAGGGATAGAACCATATCCCTATCACCACACTTGGTGAATTATAATCTATAGTGCTTTATAAGAGTTATACCACTTGTAGAATTTTCTTTAACTCTACAGAAACTCTATTTGCTCTGTGCATCCACCCGATTGCTGCAAACCACAAACAGAATTGCACACCGAATGGAACAGCTTCAGATGGCCATTTATTTGTATGACTTGAGTCACAACCTTCCTCCATTAATAGCATGGCTGAGCTCTCCAAAGCAAAAAACGAATTCCCCTTGAACAATTTACATCGTTCATATATTAACATTTCTCTTGATTTGTTTTCCTCTGCTTGTCTAGAAAAGTGATATAGAGTGACTTCCATGCTCTGTGGTTATGGAATATGGTCAATGTGAATAACCTATGACACTCTGATGTTACTGGGCGATAACTCCCACATCATGACCACTATAAGTCTGTCTTATAAATATATTAAGCATGTATTATATGAATAATATAAACCCATGGTCTCCTTACAAGTCAATACTAACTGCAGCACCAGCATCTTATGAGTGTAAGCATATGGAAAGTTGAAATGCAATTACTTTCAGGAAGAAATAGAGGTTAGGAGTTTTATTTTAAACAGATACAAAGCAGATGTGGAAGACAGATCTGAGGATAGGCCACTGGTGTTCATAAGCTGCACCAATCTATCAGACCAAAATAGATTTTATGTGTGTGTGTGTGTTCTACAGGAAGAACATCTGAGCTCATTTTCTCCATTAAAAAAAACAACAACTGCTTCATCTTCCAAATGGTATGTTGCTGGAAAAAAGCTGTAACTTCCCCCACAGATCCAGTATTCCATTTCCTATGTATCATGTTGCAGCAAATACAAAACACATAAATTTGGACTCTGGGATAAGTTAACATAAGGACATTTACAGAGGGAAAGCTTTCTATCTTCTCCTTCTACCTGTAGCTAACTATGAATCCTAAAAACTTCAGAAGAGGATGAGGAAGAGGCTCCTCTGAACAATCAAGAATGAGTGGGGGTTGGCTGCTGGAAGGCAGAACACCCTGAATCATAATCCCATTTTATGCTAAGTTAGTGCAACAATATCAAAGGAAGTTTTGTTTCCGAGTTTTCTTGGGAAACAGTTTACAGGGGAAATGATAAGATGGGAGACATCTTCCTATTAACTTCCATAAGACTGCTGTTCTATCCAAAATGATGTTTTCCCATTGTGTTGGATCAGTTTCCATCATCCCCAGCCAGCAGAGTTGATAGCTGAAAGTAAGACAAACCTTAATGGGTTTATAGACACATTTGTTTGGGGTGGGGGGTGGGGGTGAAAGGTGGGGAAAGAGCTGTTATCTGGAAAGATTCCTTAAAAGTGTTATTTATGTGCTATTCTTATCGTTTGTAACTGGATTACAAGGGAGTCATATCACGATCATTTGATTAAAACTGAGGCTGTTGACAAGCCACTTCATTTCTTTTCTTTTTTCTTCCCCTTCAGGTCTGCGTGTGTCCTTGGTTTAATCTCATAAACTCTCTGGAAGCATTCAGATCTAGGAAGAGCATTTTTTTTTCTTATTGTGAGAAAGACAGAAAAGAATGAGAGGATGCCCCATTTCAGCTCCATCTTCTGCTGACATACAGCCCTCACCTCAACAGAAACCAGACAATCAATGTATTAAACCTTAATTCAGCTACCCATGAAGATGTATGAACTCTTAACCAGGTTAAGTAAAGACCTAGCAGATGCACTTTGCATATATTAATACATGGTTGGGAATTGAAGGGCTGTAGGCAAGACAGGGTAGTCAGTCAGGAAACATCCAGAAAGAAAGCAAAAACAAACCACTTCTGTACTGTTGCCAAGAATATTTGTGTGTGTGTGTGTGTGTGTGTGTTCACGTAGTTACCACAACTCAAGCCTGACTCAAGGGCATCTTTACCTTTTTAAAAGTTTAATTAGTATTAATTTGGGTAAAGGTCCATAGCTTAGCATGTTGTGCAGCCCAGCATGTTTAGGTGTTTTGTGGTTCATTGTTTTGTGGGTTATGCACAAACCCAGAAAATAGGTTAATCTGGCATTCAGGATAAGCATATTGTGTGTTTGAAACCAATCTAAAATTTGTGGAATTCTCCATATGAGCAGCAGAAAAGTTCTCTATCCTCACAAGGTACATTTCTGACGCCAACTAAAGATAGAGGTCTGCCCTGTGAAAATCTTCACACTTACAGGTAAATGTGCTTTGGCACTACCTAAGCCTAAACTCTGATTGTACAATTTCAGGCTTGCATGAACACACAATGATCTCTACAGCACAGTGCATCTACACTATGCACACAGATGCCATTCTTAATCTGACTTCAGAGCTGTGAATTATGGAGGAGTAGGGCAGCTTTCTTCTGCTTGTGTGATGAATTTTACAGTTTTAATAATGCCTGAGTAGATCTAAGTGCCACTAGAGTTCTATTTTTCCTTTGGCTTGTGCTGAAATTACCTTATGCTGAGATAAGCAACCACCTACAATCCTTTTGCCGCTGAACATGCTGGTTACGACCAATCGGAACTAAATTCTAAAACAACCGAAGGACAACAGATTGTTTGCCTGTAACCTACATAAACAGTGTACAAATCTTTTCAGATGACTGCAGTATTTCACAGGGAGCAAAACGGAGATCCATTCACAGGGGAATCCAAGAACTATATCTAAAGGTTCCTTCCTCCAATGGGAAAAAAGAGGTCTTCCACTGATAGAAAACGTCCTTTTGTCAGAGGAAGTCAACCTTTGGATCTAATCCCAAATGTCTCAAACACTTCAGCTGAAAGGAAATGGCATTTCCCTCTCCAATGTAGAAGGTTCTTAAAATGTATTATGGAAAACAGGTCAATCAGGGGTTATAATCATTGGTACCTAAATGTAATTTCCGTTATGTGCTGTTCTTCTGAATAGCAGATTCTGGGGATTATGATAACTATGACTTCTAATTTAGACCTTCTACTTAGCACTATGATCTAATTCAACCATTCCCAAACTGGTGTCCTTCAGTTATAATGGGAATTCTAGAGGAGGTAGCCCAAATATATCTGGAGGACACCAGAAGGCTGTTCTATCAGAAAGAAGATCTCTGTGAAGACACATGCAAACGAGAGACGGAGGCTTGGCTGGTATCAACTGTTAGTTTCTGGACAGCAGAAGAAATACAAAAGCACTCAGATTACCTAACAAGAGTCTTCTGTACTGTAGTATGGTGAAATGTGTGGTATATCTGTAGAAACTATAGTTCATTTGTTCTAAATTTGCTTCTACAGGCAGTCCTTGTTTAGCAACCACAATTGGGACCGGCAACTTGATTAAGCGAAGCAATCACTAAGTGAAACTGTGACTGTGCTTATGATCTTCAGCTTTCCTTTGCTTTACAGACCTGTGAAGGTTGTAAACGTGAGGACTGGTTGTAAAATTACTTCTTCATCAATATAACTGTGAACTGTTACTAAACAAGGCAGACACTAAACAAGGACTACCTGTATACATATTTATATACATGCATATGAACATATCCAAACATTAAATAGTTCTTCTTTCGTGTTGACGCATATAAATGGCCACCCAAGCAGGGACTGACTGTTCCGCTGATGAGCAATCAGAGGCATCCATTTGGTTGTTGCTGGAATCAGAACACCAGACCAAATCAAGCATTTCTTTGTTCCAACTGGGCTGTTTTTAGTATTCCTATGGCATCTCCCAGAGCTAGGTGGGGAGGGTGGAAAAAATGGGGAAATTCTGCAGAAAATAATGCTATTAGAGCTTCCATGTTTAAAGGCATCGTCTCTCTGATAAGTTGAACCTGGGGGTAATGAACAGGGATGATTATCTGCTCATCTCTGCTTGTAGATCTTCCAGGGACATCAGACTGGACACTACTACAGGTGGTCCTCAGTTAACAATCACTCATTCAGAGACCGCACTTACAGTGGTGCTGAATGAGTGGTACTTATGACCGATCCTCATACTTATGTTGTTTGCAGCATCCCCGCTGTCACGTGATGGTTAGAAGGATTCTAATCGTGCCATTTTGTCCTTTTTGAAGTGGACTCATCAGCCTGGTGCTGCCTTTTCAAGTTTTCATCCACCCTCTTCTTTATTTTCCCCTTCTTTCCAATTCTCCTTTGTTTACACTTTCCATGTAGTAAGTCCCTCCTCAGGGAGGCCTGCCTCCCATTTTGAAAGCCACAGGCCTTCAGTAACATGATCAGGCCCTGGTGTCATTCTGGGTTGTGTCTTGTGGCTTTGGGTAAGAGAGCGGTTTCTGCAGAATGTTGTGATGTGGCGAGTACAGAGGCTTGCCTCATTCAGTCCTCGTGATGTTTAGTAAGATGGCAAAAATGTTGGTTAAAGGACAAGTTTTTTGAAAGAGCTTGAGGAGACTCATTTTGTAGAGCTGATACTCACAGGAAAGTTTTGGGCTGCAATCTAAAGCCATGGTTTGTTGCACTAAGTACACAATCCATACAGTTTTGTTATGTTTTGTTTTTTGCAAGCCCCACAGCATTCAGAAGGACTTTCTGGTTAAGTCATATTGCTAGAATTGCAGCCTTGATTGGCTCAAGTTATTTACTGCCCACAATGGAAAATACAAATGGCCAATTGCACTCTTACAGAGGTAGGTAACTTGGGGCCCTCTGTATGTTGTACCTGAATTACAACTCCCAGCATCCTTCACCTCTGGCCATGCTGTTTGGAGCTACAGCTCACAGCATCCCCACTTCTGCTCAAACTAATGCAGAGCACAATCCATTGGGATATCAACCTGCACAAGCTCCACTGATGGGAAGGAGAGCTGAATATTGCATTTCCAGATCAGCTCTCATTAATATCAGTGAGGAGTATTTCTTGCAGTGCCCTTCGAGACTGTGCCACCACAAATCAGGCCCTCTATCATTCATGGCATCCAAAATCTGTTTCTCAATTGTCCCTGGAATTAACTTCACCCCAGTTGGTCAATGCCTCTTAACTCCTAACACTATGTCCCATCCCTATGTAATGGAGCAGAGGGGCAGACAGCAGAGGGCTGCCTTGTCTTAGAAAGTCAAAGGGAATAAGCATATGGAGGGCAAAAAACTGCTCCAACTTCAGCATTTTGCAATACACAATATCCAAATGGGCAAAAAATAATGAAAAATTGTGGATACTTGTTAGGGGCAGGTATTAATACTCTCTAAATAGCAAAGGCAGAATGGTGCTGTGCCATTTGGAGTAGAGATGATCTAGAGATAACACCCATTAGGAAAAAATTGCGGTGTACACACTCTGAAGTATCTTTCTATCCTCTGAATCTAATTAGTAACAGCCCTACTAATTTGCCTAAAGTTAACTAGCAAGTTTGTGGAATTGAGGGATGTGCACGGGGTGGGAGAATCAAAACTGGCAAGATTCCAGACAAAAGGGTCACGATGCAAGCCCCACCAGTTTGAACTTGCACGAGAGATCAGGGCTCGCAAAACAATGCCGTCTGCCATCTTGCTGTTTTTGGCCCTCTTGCAGATGCTGCTAGGGGAACCCTCTGCAGTACTCACCAAAGATGCCTCAGCTGCCTTAAAACTAACTCTTTATTTATCATATGAACAGATGTGTATTTGTACAACCAGTTTTGTGAAACCGGATGTGTAAACTACAGGTCCCATTATCCCCTAAGTTAGCCAAGAACCATGCTGGCTGATGAATATTGTAAGTGCAGTCCTGCACATATGAATGACATCATGTCAAGGAAGACTGATAAACAAGCCTCAGGCCCCATCAATTACCTATTGTCAAGTATTAAATACTGGAAGCCAACAACTGGTGTTAATTTTCTGGTTTGGGCAACTTTGCAATATACATATATAGCACCTTTGGTTGGATGGACAATATTAGGATCTAAATACAACAGAACTCTAATGTCTCTGGAAACAATTATGTCAGTCAGAAAGCTATGTAATGTAATGTCTAATAAAAAAAGATTTGATCCTTTTTCACATGCTAAATTGACTTTATGGGGAAACCCAACATAAAAAATTGGGAAAAAGTTGGTGATATGGAAAAATTGGATGGAAGCAGGGAAACTGACTTTGGACCAATTGATAAATGATGAAGATGATTTTTTAACATACTCTGTGTTAAGAGATAAATATCATTTATCAGATATAACTCAATGGCAATATTTACAGTTACAATATTTGTTAACAGCATTGTTTGGTCCAGCAGCATTTTCAGCTTTTGAGACACCTGAGATACTAGAACAACTTGTTAAATCCTTCAAAACTAAAAAACCTACTGTTAAGTTTTTATAGGTATTTGTTATCAATGAATCAATTGGATATGCAGATGCTGAGAGATGAGTGGAATAAGGTTTCTATATTGCCTAGACAATGGGAGAGTGTCTTAACTTCTACAGCAAGAGTGTCAATGGACCTTAAACGGTGACTTATAAGTATAATGAAATATGGGACTCATTTATACAAAATACAGTAGGTTAAAAAAAAATAGTCATATAAATGTATTAGAAATATATACGTACTTGAATAATATTTGCATTAGATAAGTATATATAGAATTGTAACTGTTTACTGTTATGACAATGACATATACTATTTTTTTTCCTTTGTCGTACTTTTTTCATTTTTTTGTAAAGCACTTTTTATTATTATTTTTCTTTGACATATCATTATTACCAGTGTTTTTTGCTTTTTTGTTATTAATTAAAAACCAATAAAAATTGATAAATAATCATTTTAAAAAGCCTCAGGCGCCATCATTATAAATAAACGTATCCTGACTCTACACTGTCACACTGAGTAACAACCAAAGCACTAGAGAAGCATTCTCTAACCCGGAGCTCTCCAGATGTACTAGATTAGAATTCTCATATTTCCCAGTCAAATGACCATTAGCCATACAGGCTAGGATTTTGGGAACAGTAGTCCAATAAATCTAGGGGGCACCAGACTGGGGAAGGCTACATTACAGATTAAATTTTCCATTACTTCTTTCGAAGGTTTATCAGAAGGGCAAAACAAGCCAATTCCAAGATCCCCAGATGATTCTCTCAGCCAAGAAGTGATGACTTCATGACTTACCTGTCAGAGCAAAAACTCCTGACTGCAGAATATTCCAGTTTACAGATTCCCCAAGGCGAGCCACTCTGGGTAAAAGGGAATTTTGTGTTTCTCCTGGGCCCTGATCAGCTGCTATGCTTACTGCCTCTTCTCTCCCATCAATACTTGCTAGATCATTCTTGCTTGGCAAGTCAGTAAGCACTGGTTCTTTGATGTCAAGACCCTGGTCCACCACACATTGGTCTTCAGAACCATCCACCTCTTTTTCTGGGATGCTCACCTCCTCAGTGCCAATTCTTGGTTCACTAGCGTCGGGTTTAGCATTTGGCTCTTCAGTGTTAGGTCTTGGACCTTCAGTGCTTCCTTCTCCAGAGCTGCCTTCATTACCTCCTACACCAATGCTACATTTTCCTGTACTCTCTGGCTCTGTAGCACTAACAGTACAGTCTTCAGCGCTGACAGCCAAGTCTTTGTTGCTGGCTCCCTCCCCTCCAGTTTCAAGGCTTTCGTTTCCTGTGATTCTACCTTTCTCTTGGGTGTCATCACAATCTGTGGTATCAACACATGATTCTTTGATGCTGGCTGGCTCTCCGGTACTAACATGAACACTTCCAGTCCTGGAATCCTGTTCTCCTGGACCGGCGCAGGCCTCCTCCTTTTCAGCACTTGTTTTAATATCAGAAGCTCCTGATTCTTGGTTAACAAAATCCGTCCCCAATTTAATCCGACCACCAGCTCCTCTCCCAGCACCTTTCTTTTTCCGCCGGTTTCCCTTGCTGGTGCGTTTTGGTGTTGCTAAAGCTGGAGAATTGCTGTCCTCCTTAGGAGCAGATGGATCTCGGTGAATGGATTCAGGCAATTCTTCTTTGCCCAGAACTGTGTCTCCAGTGACACCATCATTATCACTCAAAATTGCAGGTGATGTCTTTGTTTCAATGGGATCTAGGTTTTCCTCTAGTTGCTTAGGATTCAAGTTCCCAACAACTCTAGAAGTTTCTAAGACTAAACCCAAAGCTGGGCTAGGATTTTGTCTCACCTGATCTACCTTCTCATCTTGGTTCCCCTTCTCTTGGCTAGACTTCTCTGCCTCCTCAGTTTTGCAAGCCTGTCGCAAAGCAAAGTTCTCCCCGCAGCCTGACTTATGATGGAGCCAGGCCCGGTGGCGCCGGCTCCTATTTTTGCTATGTCCCTTGCGAGCAGGCATTGTCTGAATCTGGGCACTGCAAGGTTGTGGAATTCTGGGTGCTTGATGCAAGGTGGGGCTGACCTCCAGGAGGTGAACGTACTCCCCCTCAGACTCTCTGTTCTCTCCACCAGAATGACGTCCGTCACCAGGACTCCTTGCCCCCAGTACCTCAGGAGTCAAATCTGTAGGGCAACGCTGCCCCACAATAAATCCATCTTTGTGCACAAACTGGGGATACACTAGCTCAGCCCAGGGCAGGCTCAGCACTTTTTCCCCAGCTGCCAGCAAGCAGCGTTCCAGGCGCCCTACCCGACGTTCTTTGTTAATGCCATTCAGCCATTCAATGGTGAACAGGAATCGGTAGGAGTCTGGGGACACAGGGAACTCCTGAACCCCACGGCCCTCCAGGGAGAGGCATTTCAGGACTAGGCGAGGAGCACATTCCCGGTGAGGCACCACTTGCAAATAGAAATCCCCGGGACACAGGCGTTGCCACGGCAAGGAGCCCAACTGGACCAGGACTTTTTCATGAAGGCACAGAGGCCAACCCTCATGGCAAAAGACAAAGCCACTATACTGAGCCTGAGGAAGAGAAAAAGGGAGAAGAGGAGAAGGGGAATTCAGCAAGACGTTATATTAAGAAATACAGCATACTGGAACCTATATATACAATGTAAACATTGCATTAATGGGTAGTGTATCATTCTGTTTCCTCCCACCAGGTAGGAACAATAAGCATCTCCTAGCTCAGCTCAGCTCTGGCATTTCACGAGGTAAAGAACTTGATTGGAGTTCCACCCCAAAGCTGAAATTGCCGAGGAGGAGGAGGAGAAGAGTGAGCAAGGAAAAAAAAAAAGGAAATCCAGTTTACGGGACATATTTTTAAGGCTCTCCAATCAAAGGATGTTGACACTTATATACCCCAAAATCCACACTGCTAATACTTAACTGCCATATAAGTTTATTGAGGAGTTACTATCAGGAAGATGTGGGAATATGATAGAATTAAGATTTAAAAAATACTCAGGGATCTGAAGAGTTTCCTGCACTTAAATTTCAATAGCATTAGAGAAGCTGTGGCCCTCCAGGTAATGGATAGCAAGTTCTTTCATCTGAGCATCATCAGTTCCTATGTTGGTGGGAACTGATGGGGGCTGGAATTCAACAGCCTCTGGAGGGCCACAGGTTTTCCAGCTGACTCCCACACAGAGATCCACTGTGGGATTCTGGCACCAGCATTAATTATTTCTCTATTGCCCTGCACTGCCAAGCTAGATTTCCTGTTCAGAAGTACTCCAGACAAACAGAGAGCCAAACCGAAGCAGGAGCTTACACAGGCTTCACTCTGGATGCGTGCCAAGATGTGCTTGGCAGGAACAAGGAAGTCAAGGGTGTAGCGCAACGCATCGTGTTGGTACGTCCGCTCCAGCACTTCGAAGACCTGGCTCAGAAGGGTGGGGGCAGTGGCTTCGAAAGGAGGGTACAAGGCGGCCAGTGTACTCTGGACACATTCTTCCACAGGCTCAGGTTCCTGCAAAAACAAAGAATATGTATGGGGAGCGCATTAGGACCCAAGAGCCTTTCACCAGCCCATCCAGTCTCCCTGAAACTATGCAACCATTGAATCCCCAGTGCCTTTTCCTTTACCTTTACCTACTCCCAAAGAATTGCAATTGTTCCCTCTTTGCCAAGCACCATGCCCCTCGCAGGTTTGTTGTTCCTGTATACCTCACCATGCTGCCCTAGTACCAGGACCCCTTGCCTTCAACCTTTTCCATTCGATGTCCTTGCCTTGCCTTGCTCAGCCAATTAATGGAAGAGCCAGGTTGTTATGGGTACCTGCAGCAATGAGCAACCGGTCACATTTTGTGCCTAGAGGAAAACCGCTGCCCCCTAGTGATGTGTCAAAAGGAACAAGGGGCAGCAAGGAAATTGCCCAGAGCAATGTGCACAGAGACCAGCAGTGTGTAAAAAGAGCAGAGGGCATGAGGGGGCAGCGAGAATGAAACAGTTTGGAAAAATGCCAAGAAGTAGGGAGAGCGGAGGTTTCATCTGGAATACATTAGCAGCTGTGAGCTCATTCCTTCCGCAACTCCACCCAGCAAAGGAAATTGGGGGGGGGGAGGGAGAGAGAGAGAGAGACTGAGACTGTAAGGGAAGGGGGGCCAACAGCAAGAGAGACAGCCATTGTGCCTTAAACCTTCCAGTGTACCTACCAAAGAGTCACAATCATTTTCCTCACGGGCACGCCCTGGATTCAAATCTCATACTAGAAGACGCTGCAGGGAAACCACAAGAACCATGCATCCTTGCCTTGTCTCTGAATCCAGATCAAATAACTCCATTAACCTTCCTTGACTGCTTCTTTGTTTTTGAACATTCCAAAAGCTACAAAGTTAGGCTGGAGTTTGATGTGGCGATCAGACAAGGAAAATCATAAGGAACTAAGGGCCTGAAAATGTGTGGCTGTATTTTGTAGTGGCAAAGCAATGATGCTTCCAACAGCTCCTTTGAGAGAGGGAAGCAAAGCCAACAAGTGTTAACCTTGACTTACTTTGTACCTTTTCCCACTATCTGGTGAAACTGCATGGTGGTGGATAGAAGGGGACATATGGAGTTATTTTGTACCAGCAGCCCTTTCTTTATGTCTATTATTTCAACAGTTTACATAATACCCTCCAGCAAGGCTTTAAAAAATAATTGACAAAAAACTAAAAGGACTCTTTAATCTATTAGTAGAGTTGGCTTTACCATTACGGAGTAGTAAGAGAGCAACCTCAAGCAACCGATCTGATTTTTTTTAAAAAATCAGGTAATTTAAATATTGTTATTATTATGTACTGTTTAGTGGGAGGAAGAAGCACTATTTGGTGAAGGAAGAAAGCACCATTTATGCTGCAAAATGTTAGTGTCCAACCTTGCATGGGAGACTAGAGTATTTTAATATCAGCATTTTCCAAAATAAGAAATGTTGAACTAAAATCCAGTCTGAATGCTCTTTCATCTATCATAGATAAATAGAGGCTGTTTAAGCTTACAGATGTTATGGGCATGTAATTCAGGGCAAAAACAGCTTTTAGTGGATTCAAACCAACAATCCAGATATCTGGAAAGCCCACTAGTATCCCTGAAGCAAATGCAGGCACATTGGCCATAAAGGGAAAAGATCTGTAATAAAGCAATATTTTATTATTAAACCAACCCAATCTTTACAAACTAGCATGCAAGAACCAACTCAAGGTTCACAAATAACGAACAAGCTTTCAACTTTCCAACGACTTTTCATCAGGCAGAGTGATTAAAACACATAAGGAAGGAGGCAACATTGTGGCTGATGTTTAAGCCATGTCTGCACAGGAGGGTATTAAATGGAGCCTGGCAACCACCTGCTTTAGACATGGCTTAAACCACAAGTTTTCTTCCAGTTCTAATGGTGTCCTTGTGTTTTAACCTCTAATGATGAAGAATCTGAGAGTCTGCACACTATTTTGTCAACTCTGAATTGGCCTGCTGTGGAGTTTGCTGTTCCTGATCAGACACTTCCGTTCTTGACTACGGAAAGCCCAAGGAACCTTCTGCAGTTCCAGATCCTTTAACTTGAAGGCAACACCCCAGCACTTTTACATGCAAAACAGGTGCTCTGCCATGGGGGGGGGGGGGGGGCCTCCCCCCCAACCCCCTCCTCAAATCGTCCCCTTCCCACAGGGAGGTTCAAAGTCAACAACCTGGTTGCTTTTCTGGGATTCACCTTCCCCCAACTGTAACTTGAGTTGGAAACCACACTATTTTGTAAAAGGGTGGAGGGCACGAATATCTCAAGTCCCCCCCCCCCAATGCACACACAAACCTCTCGCTTTAGCCACTTTCTGGCAAAGGGGAAGGAAAGTACAGACTTGCGGTCAGCCAAGGTTGTGGTTTATATCCCTGACAGGAAGAGGCAGTTCCCCTCCCCTTCAGACACAGACACTGGCAGGAAGACTGGGGAGGCCCCTTCTTGGCTCTGGGTCCCGGAGGGTGTGCAAGGCAGACAGATCCACGTGAGAAGTGTGGCTGATGGAAACACAGACAGATCTTCCCCAAGTACTACTGCCAATATCCAGCCCCCATTCACTCACACACACACACAGAGAACCAGATGCTCTATATTTCCATCTACTATTATCACTAGTTATTCCTCAAGCCTGGAATATCTTGGCAGCCAAAATACTATCCTTGCATAGGAGAGAAGTCAGAACAAGTTCTGTGAAATCCAAAGATGCGCAGGATTAAATCTTGGGGGGGTGGGTAAGTAGGAGATTAGGACTGAGCATGCTCAGTGGCCCCAAATTCTGGCTGGTCATTGATAGGAGACAGAAAGATGGAGAAGGAGAACAGAATGAAATATCCTGGCACAGGAGTGGTCCACACCTCATGCGGCAGATCTCACTGGAAAGCCATGTTCAAGGGAGTTTTATTTTTATATCCTGGACAAAGTCTTGGAGGGGGAAGCATACAGGGGATTCTCTTACCTGAGCCACTGCACACATTAAATAGATAAAATTAATAAATTAATTAACTAGATATCTACTCCGCCTTTCCTTCAGAAGCTCAAGGCAGTGTACACAGCACAGCCACCTCCCATTTTTTCTCACAACAACCCTAGGAGGTGTGTTGGGCTAAGTGAATGTGACTGACCCCAAGTCACCTGGTGAACTTCTATAGCTGAGGATGGTGAATGAGAACCTGGATTTCCCTAGTCTTACTGCAAGACATGAACCACTATACCACACAGGCTCTCTTTATTTTTAAATCTTTTTTATTAGGCTGAGATGGTGTTATTACAGCAGCCAGCTTTTGAATGACACAGGATCCTGCCTGCTTTCTGGGAGAAAAGTTTTGGGCAGCTAGAAAATACAGACGGATTAATAAACTCAGGTAGTTCTCGATTTATGACCATTCGTTTAGCAAGTGTTCGAAGTTACAACAGCGCTGAAAAAAGTGACTTATGACCAGTCCTCGAACTTATGACCATCGCAGCATCCCTGCAGTCACATGATCAAAATTCAGGTGCTTGGCAACCAGCATCTATTTACGACAATTGCAGCATCCCAGGGGCACGTGATCACCATTTGCGACCTTCCCAGCTGGCTTCCAACAAGCAAAATCAATGGGCAACCACATGATTCGTTTAACAATCATGTGATTCACTTAATGACCGCCACAAAAAATATTGTAAAATCAGATACAGTCATGTGATGCCTCACTTAACAACCGCACTGCTTAATGATGAATTTTCTGGTCCCTATTGTGATTGTAAGTCGAGGACTACCTGTATTCCAAATAGGCTTTTGCCGAAAGCAATTGTCTTATATTATTTTAGAATAATTATATTGGAATCAAGGCACACACATACATACACATTTTTGTCATTATGACTATTAATATAAGTCAAACTAGCTTCTCCACAGATGCCTGCACCCTGAGGACTGATCTGAAGCCACAGTTTGAACTTGCAAGGCTTGATTCCTAATTATTGGGAAGATTGTTCAAAGACATTTTACTGCCTGAAATGAAGGACAAAAGGACATTCTCCCCACTTCCCATACTTA